TCCATGGGGCCAGATAGAATCCACCCAAGTGGGCCAAGGGAGCTGATGGAGGTAATTGCCAAGCCACTTTGCACTGTCTATCAGCATTCCTGATCAAGTGGAGAGGTTCCAGAGGATTGGAGGCTTGCCAGCATGACTTGCATCTACAAGAAGGGATGCAAGAAGGATCTGGGGAACTACAGGTGACCTCAGTGCCAGGGGAGGTTATGGAGCACATCATCTTGAGTGATATCACACCACATGCAGGACAACCAGGAGAACAGGCCCCATCAGCAAGGGTTCACAAAAGGCAAGTCCTACTTAGCTGACCTGATCTCCTTCTGTGATCGAATGACCTGCCTGATGGATGAGGGAAAGGCTCTTAGCGTAGTCCAGCTAGATTTCAGCAAAGCCTTTGACATTGTCTCCCACACTATTCTGCTGGAAAAGCTGGCAGCCTGTAGCTCTTTGCTGGGTAAAGAAGAGGATGGAGGGCTGGGTGGTGAATGGAGTTAAAGCCAGCTGGCCAACAGTCCTGAGTGGTGTTCTCCAGGAGTCAGTATGGGGCGTGTCCTCTTTAATATCTCCACTGAGAAACTGAATGAGGACATTGAGTGCACCCTCAGTAAGTTTGCAGATGACACCAAGCTGGGAAGAAGTACCAATATTGCCTGCATGGGGTTAGGCAGGCAATGTCCAGAAGGATCTGGACAGGCTGGATAGCTGGGCTGAAGTTCAACAAGACCAAGTGCCAGGTCCTGCACTTTGACCACAACAACCCCAGGCAATGCTACAGGTTTGGGGCAGAAGGGCTGTAAGACTGTGTGGAAGAAATGCAGCTGGGGGTGATGGTCAACACTCACCTGAACATGAGTCAGCAGCATGCTCAGGTGGCCAAGAAGGCCACTGGCATCCTGGCTTGTATCAGAAAGTTACCAGCAGGAGCAGGGAGGTGATCATCCCTCTGTACTCAGCTCTGGTGAGGGTGCACCTTGAGTGCTGTGTTCAGTTCTGGGTCTCTCACTACAAGACATCAATGTCCTAGAGTGTGTCCAGAAAAAGGCAATGCAGATGTGAGGGATCTGGAGCACAAATCTTACAAGGATTAGCTGAGGGAACTAGGATTATTTAGTCTAGAGAAGAGGAGGCCTAGGGGAGTCCCTGTCATCCTCTACAACTGCCTTAAGGGAGGCTGTGGAAAGATGGGGGTCAGCCTCCTGCATAACACAGAGAGAGTGGTAAGGTACTGGAACAGGCTGCACAGAGAGGCTGTGGATGCCCCATCCCTGGAAGTGTCCAAGGCCAGATTGGATGGGGCCCTGCGCAGCCTGGTCTAGCATTAAATGAGGAGGTTGGTGGCCCTGCATGTGGCAGGGGGTTGGAGGTTCATGATCCTTGAGGTCCCTTCCAACCCTGGCCATTCTGTGATTCTGTGGTAACCAGGAAATATTGGTGATGGGTGGATGGTTGGACTGGATGATCTTGGATGTCTTTTCCAACCTCTGTGACTCTGTGATTCACTCTTTTCAAAAAGGCCAGCTTATCACAGAGAAGTCTTTAAATTTCACTAAATTCAAGTTGTCATCCACTCAGTACCACATTTAGCGCATCAAAAATTTTCAGGCTTCAATGTTTATAACGCTGGTAGGTGCATTGAAAACAGGAATCCAGAGGTGCAAGAAAAGGCTCCCCAAAGAAAAGCTGCCTGACTCCAAACCCTCCCCATCATGAGATTGTCTCTACTTGGAGGAGACAGCTCTCAAATGCTTCAGTGTCTTTCCAGTGACTCCTCATTGTGGTCACTGCTACAGCTGCCTACAAAAAGGCTATTGAGATGGGCCTTCTACTTGCAGCTCCATACATTTTACATATTTATGTTCATTTAAAAATGGATTAATTTAATACACCAACCACAGTTCATGAGCAAAATACTAAAGCATAAGTAAGGCTAGTCTTACCAATAGAAGCCACACTAGCCTAACAGAACTGTAAAGGAGATCAGCTTCCCCAGTACAGATACAGCTCGTTGACTAAAGATGTGGGTGATGGCAGCTCCTCTTCCAATGGCTGCATATGTATTTGTGGCAGCATGAGGGATCTTTCTATCCAGGTAATGTCATTTGTGCATTGGAGTAGCAGAGGCCTTGAAAGCATCAGCTGCATATTAAGAGAAAAATGTCCATGTCCTGTCCCTCCCCCCCCAGCCAAAATAATTAAGATCATTAGGGACACAGTCCAGGGCACACAAGCTAAGATCCTAGTCACACTGAGACACTGCTTGACTTATTTCTGAGTTCTAGACTTTAACCCTGTTGTCAAGGGTGCCAGACACTTGGCATGGCAAACAGGAGGAAGTTCAATGCAAGTTAACTACAAACCCGTTACTTCCCCATGTTTAGGAAAGCAGACAAATATCAGGCTTAATTCAGACATCAGCATCAGTAAATGCTGTCACTAAACCTTCAGGCAATGTCAAAGGTCTCCATGCCAAAAAGTTGTACTTAGACTGTGAATCTACATGAAAGTTTTCAGCTTCTGAAATTCTGTTCTCCAGAGTGCAACACTAATGAATGATTTACAGTGCTCAATGGGTGACGTTTCAAGCAACGAGATTCAAGCAAACCACTATCTGTACTTCACAGAGTTGTCTTGTGTGGAAGTACTAAATATTTAAGTAGCATTCAAAAAGTGTTTTTTAAATACAAATATGTGCAAGAAACATTTCTTTTGTTACAGCATATTTTGCTGTACTGTCAAGTTGTTTTTATAGTGCATGAGCTTAAGTATTTCCAAGTGATAATAAACTCATCAACAAGAAAAACAACAAGAACAAACTTCAGCTACAAAAGAAACAGCAGCATGGAACAGGAGCAGATGATTCAAGCCCTGAGCAACTTCGCTGTAAACAATTAAACATCAACAAGAGGCAGCAAAGTATCATCACCCCTAGTTAATATCATAAACATAGTTATCATAATCACAGTGTTTATATTCCATTACACAGCCATAATGCAATTACAAATTTCCAGACAGCAGCCTTCTGCTGTTGCCTTTCCTATATGTAGCATAGATCCTGCATGTTCTGCTTCCAGTAAGAAACAGTTTTATGTCCCACCCTGTGATTAAGTAGGAACCCTCTTTCCCACAGCAGGTACTCACAGACAGTATGATTCTGTTTGCATAAGGGACAGAAACTTAGGAAAGACTGAAGGAGGCAAGTTCTGCCAACACCTTTAAAACAAAGATCTGTTTTAAAATCAGTGGGATTCTTCCTTCCCTTCTCTCAACATTTATCTACCCCTAAATCCACAGAACCCAGGCACACAGCAGCTCTATCATTTTGCTGTCAGCTACATGGCACCCAACAATAACCAAGTGACATCACAACTGAATGGGGGTGAGAACAGAAGTGCAGCAGCACAGTGACAAAGAGCAGTTCAGATCACGGCACAGAATGATTATCATCAATATTAGGGCAGCAATAGGTAACAACCAGCATGCTACAGTTATGTGTCATGCTTTAAGTTACAACACTACTACCGGATTGATATCCTGTCCAAAACAGACTGCAGGCTGCAGAAGGTACCTGTGCTATCCTATGGGGCAATGAGTTTAAGGATTATTAAAAGAGGAACCCAAATCACTACCTGAACATCTGAAAAGCATTCAATAGAGAAGTTTTCAACACAGAAATACCACAGGTTATACAGACAGACCCCTGGAAAAAGGCCACGCACAGACCAGAAACAGACTACAGACAAATGAAATCCCAGTGCTAGTTTCCCACTGACACAGCTCCCTGCCCACCTCTCAATGCTAACAACAAAGACCTGGACACCAAAATGATTTCATTTTTATGTTCTTCTTATTTGTTCTCTCTGAAAGCACAGAATAGCTCAGAAGGGACTTCCAAGATCATCTAGTTCCAACCCTCCAGCAGCAGGCAGGATTGCCAACCACTAAATTAAGCACCAGCTCAGGCTGCCCAGGGTCCCATCCAGCCTGGCCTTGAGTATCCCTGGTATGGGGCATCCACAGCTCCTCCAGGCAACCTGTGCCAGGGCCTCACTAAGCTCTCGGTGAAAAAAATCCCCTGACATCTAATCTAAATACCCTCTCTTCTAGTTTAAAACTGATCCCCCTTGCTCTACCACTATTCACCCACGTAAAGAGTTATTCAGCCTTCTGTTTATAAGCTCCTCTCAAGAACTGTAAGGCCACAATGAGGTCTCTCCTGAACCTTCACACATCCAGGCTGAAGAAACCTCCATTACAAAGTCACCTCCTATAAATTTAACGGGAGATATTTTATTCACCTAACTCTGTGCATTCAACACCCACAGCTCCCCTGCTTAGTCCAGGGCATGAGATTCAAAGAGAGGCTACAAGCCTGCCCCCAGACAAAGCCAGACACTACTACAAGGCACCCTTTCCACTCACCATGCATCCCAGTTAATAAGAACCATTACCTGCCTTACAAGATGAGGCAGAAGATCAAGATGCAGACATGCCAGAAGGAGCTGCTGATTCCTTTGGGGAAAGCATAAAAATAAGCAGGTTTCAAGGGCAGCACACCAGCACTTGTAGGACCCCAGGTTGGACAGGGCTCTGGGCAGCCTGATCCAGCAGGTGGCAACGCAGCCCCCAGCAGGGGATCGGGACAAGATGGCCTTTAAGGTCCCTTGCTACCTAAGCCACCTCATGGTCATGGATGCCTCTGTATTGGACACAGATTTTTGCCAACAAACTGAGAACCGTTGGAGCTGACAGCAAAACAAAGCTCAGAGCAACAACAGAAATCTCTTTCATGTTTACGACGAACAAAAGCCACCCATTCAAATACGGAAGCTTTCTCAGGGTACAGATGACCACTCAGCACATACTATGGAGCTCCGGACACGGGTACAAAGATGCCCACAGCAGTAACCCCTCAGGCACAGCCTGTCCCGTCAGGATTCCCCTCAGCGGGTTCCGCCCACAGTCCAGCTCCCCTCACGACCCGCAGCCCGGCGGGCTCCTACCTGCTGCGTCAGGTACCGCGTGAGGTACGGGGCGGGCAGCGGCGCGATCCCCCGGCGGCGGCGGGGAGCAAGGAGCGCGCCGAGCGACCCGAGGAAAAAGAGGAGCAGGAGGAACCGCAGACACAGCATCTGTAGCATCGCCAGGCTGAACGGCAGCTAACTACCGGCCCGCGGCTTTATAGACGGCCGGCCGGCCCGCCCGCTGGTGGCTGAGGGGAGGCACCTCCCCTGAGCCCCGCACGGGGCACTCTGAGGGGCAGCCCCGAAGGGGAGGAGTTATGCTCTCGCACGTGGTGGGCGGGCACTAAGCTAGTCAGGCTTCCGATTGGTTACCGGTTGCGGTTAATTCGCGCGCTCTCTCGCGGTTGGTTGGCTGAGGCGGAAGGCGTGACATGAGAACTTTGGGCACGGTGAGAAGACAGCGATTGGCTGCTTGGCGCACGTGATCCGCCCTCCGATCTGCATGCCCGCTCCCATTTGCGGATGAGCTCCTCGCTCATGAAGAGGAGCGGCTCTGCGATTGGATGAGCGCCGCATCGCCCCGCCCCTAGCAACGGCCCTTAGCAACCAACCACTTCCGTCTTCCGGGTTCTCCTCCGAGTTAGGGCAGCGCGGAGCCGCGCTGCCCGAGGCTCCGGCACCGCACAGCGGTCGCATTGCGGCCTCCGCCTTCCGCGCCTCCCTGAGGGCTGCCGGGGAGGCGGCGCAGCCCTCGCTCCGGAGACAAAGCCCTAAGGTAAGCACGGCAACGTAAGGTCCGTAGGCGCGTGTTTGTTCCTGCACGCCAGGGGGCAGCAGGCGCTGCTGGATGCGTGGCAGGTGGAGGTGTTGGCTGCGTGGCTCTGAAGGGATCCCCTGATACAACCCGTGGGGAGATGTAAATGCTGCGCTCCATCTCGGTGTGTAAGAAGCAAAAGGAGGCTCAACTGTGTTCGACACTTGAGTCGTCTTCTATGTAAGCCACGTTGTCCTGAACCTATCTGGATTTGCATCACAGCCAGTATCATAAAGAGCATCATTAAAGCAAGAGCTGCCCTGTCGGACAGCTGAGCAGCATTTCTTTTATAGGGCTTATTGTCTTTATATGGCCTTTCTTTGTTTTGTTTTATTTATTTATTTATTTATTTATTTAATATCTGATGATTTAGCTGGAACATTATATGAATTTCCTGAATGTTTGCTTCTTATTATATATCTTCACTTCTTTTGAAGGATTAAGGCTGGTGGTACTTGTCTGAATGGGGCTGCTGTTCACAGAGATCCTTTGTTTCCTGAGGGTTGCCTTTCAAAGCGTTGGGGAAACCCAGCTAAAAGCAGTCAGTATTAATATCTCGGAACATGAGAATTCAATGAGCCGTTTTGGCTTCTCTGTTTCAGGTGATCCAGTGAGCACATGAGTAGTGCAAGGCAACTCTTGGCTGCCTCTGTAATTTCTGTCCAGAACTCTTGCTTCATCTACCCTGCTTGTCAGAGCTGCTTGTCGAGGCTGATCCTGGACTCCAGGAGGTATGTCCTGTATCTCATGTGCCTTGTTAATCACAGAATCGTCAGGGTTGGAAGGGACCTCAAGGATCATGAAGCTCCTACCCCCCTGCCACATGCAGGGCCACCAACCTTCCCACCTAATGCTAGACCAGGCTGCCCAGGGCCCCATCTAATCTGGCCTTGAACACCTTCAGGGACAGGGGATCCACAACCTCTCTGTGCAGCTGTTCCGGTACCTCACCACTCTCTCTGTAAAGAATTTCCCCCTGACGTCCAACCTAAATCTCCCTTCCCTCAACTTA